TGTTTGTTTGTTTTTTTTTCTATTGTTGATTTCCCTAATCTAGATTTAACTTTAACACATGAAGGTTGAGATTGTGTTTGTGATAAAATTTTGAAAGATGGAGCATGAAAATCGTCTGAGTTTGCTTCTTCATTCAATCTTCTTACTTTTTCTCGGGGTTTCGTTGCCTCTTTTCGACATTGTACGGTTTGTTTATCGCAAGAGTTGAAGATTTGAATGCAAATATTTGAGAATTCTTGAAGAAGACTGTTAAGAGAGGAATGAGTTTTAGAGAAAATTTGGTGAAAATAAATTAGGCGTGTGAATTATGGTGAAAAGTTTTGATAGGCGTGCAGAGGTAATGATTTTGAAAAAGAGTTGGGGAAGAACAAAAATTTGGAGAATATAATTTTTTTTAGGTAACGTTTTACAGTTTTAAAAATAAAAATGTAACTGTTTTAGAGATAAAATCCCTATTACTTTGTAGTTATCTTAAAAAAGGTAACTATATAACATTTAATTTAAATTACATTAATTAAGAGTTTGTTTAAAAAAGGTAACTTAAAATAATAAATTTAATTAACTACATTGGTTTAAATAAGGTAATTGAATTATTTAAATAAGTTAATTATTATTTTAAAAAATTAATGAGAATAATATATTATTTCTTGATATGCTATAACTTGATAATAATATGCTATAAGTAGTTTATTATTAAAAAGTTTGTTTATAACTTGATATTTAACATCTTAAATGTGTGTGTAGTGTTATTTTTATTAAATAAATTTGATTATCAAAATAATAGTTATAAATTAGTCATTGAAACAAAAAAAGTCAAAAAAAATATGTTTTACGAGGATTGAATTTACTCATATGGGATTATATTTTTTAGAAAAAACTAATAAAAATTTAGATTAAATTTTTTTTTTATTTCCGTTAGAAGAAAAGGGTATATGTGAGCCATTTGTTTACAAGTAGAGGTATATATGAGCCACTTTTATAACGAGGGGTATATCAGCTCTAAATGACAAAGTTGAGGGGTATATCAGACCCTTTTCCCTTCTTATTATTGACATAATTCGAGAAAAGACACATTATTTGACTATATTGTATGAAAATATTCCCAAATTGCTTCTTGTTATTTTTCCGCAATCAAATGGCATTTCATTCAGAGAATTAAGAGTGAGTTGATGGTGAAAACTCAAGACATTCATGTTACAGTTTTCTTATCAAGACAATGAGTTTAAAAGGGAATATGAGTGGATGGAGCAATTTCTAAAAGCTTAGGCATAAATGTCCAAACTTCAATCGCGTATATCTGAAATTAAGTTCAGATAAAAATATCTGAAATTTCGCTTTTCATATATACAAATGCATATGTATAATATACAATTATATACATATACAATTCATCTCTCTCCCATTTTCTGCCCTCTTTCTCCCTCTCCAATCTCGCTTGCCATATATACAAATACATATATATAATATGCAATTATCTAACAAATATACATATACAATTGACATATCTCCCACTCTTTTCACCCTCTCTTTCACCTCTCTCCTCCATATAACATGTAGCTACGAATTATAATTATCAAACTATAGTTATAGAGAATAATAGACTATTTTTAAGTGGCTATATGTGAAGTTCCCCAATTATTTATACCCAGAAATGTGCGGCCCGTGTATATATAAACAGGACTCTTTGTATATAGATGAAAATCAGCCAATTATTATTAATACATATTATCTTCATTTCAATTAAATATTTGAAATCTTTTCGGTTGCAAAGTTTTATCACGTGATTATTATTGTTATAAGAACGTGTTAGGATCAATTGTTTACCATCATGTCAAAGGCTATAGTTGATAGCAAAAGATGCAACTTTATTTCTGAACTAAGCACACCAAGCAAACGTCATTTCCAATCATGACTCTGATCTAGATCACCGTAGCCCACTTGTGTGCCTTGTCATAGGCAAGATGTTGGTATTACCCAACATAACACTTTAAAAAAGCTAGTCCAAATAAAACCATGTCTATAAATAATACTAAAAAAAGTAGTACTCCCTTCATTTAAAAAAAAATGACCCTATTTCTTTTTTAGTCTGTTTCAAAAAGAATGACCCCTTTTTTTTGCAACACTTTAAACATTTCACGTTGCATATTTAAGACCACAAGATTAAAAGACATTTTGGTACATTTGACATAACTTTAATTAAGAACCACAAGATTAATAAGTTTTTTTATTTTCTTAAACTCCGTTCCAAGTCAACCTAGGTCATCTCTTTTTAAACGGAGGGAGTAAATATTTCGATATGCATTAGTTTACAATATTATATTGTTGAGTTGATTAGTTATTTGACCATCAAATAATAGGCAAGCAAACCTATCTCCTAGGTCGTTGAACAACATTGGAAGTATCAACAAATAAATAGTATTAGCAAAATTTAAAAGAAACATTAATAAGCAATTACATACTTTCATCCAAGAAATTCTTGGAGCGATGTGAATCTGAATTAGTCTGGCTATTGAGTTCAGAATACTCAATTGTCCACCAAATATGGTTGATCTAAATTCCATCTATGCATAACAACTCTTAGAAAACTTGTTGACTTAAAAAAATTGTGCATGTTCCTCAAACCAACATTCAAAAAAGATCAACTAACAATGTATAGATTATAATTTAGAATTTAAAGCCTGTGCTTCTTCACCCAACATTTCACCAAATCCTTCTACTCCCTCAAAGAACTTTCCCTATATATACCATTTAGTAAATGATAAAAAAACAACTCAAATCAAAACACAACTAATATACTTAAGAAAACAAAGCAAATTAACAATGTCTGCTTCAATCAACCTCTCCATTGTTTTCGTGATCGTAGCAGTATTGTCCTTATCAAGCATATCGACAAGCCATGCTGCTCGTAGCTTACTGCAACTTCCCAATTTGCCTACGATCCCTTCATTGCCTCAACCAACATTACCAAAAATTCCAAACTTTCCCACAACATTGCCACCATTACCAAGTGTTGCATCTTTGCCAACAGCTAATTCACCTTTACCATCTTTGCCCTCTGTAGTCCCGAAAATGACTCTGCCTCCAATGCCCGCGAATCCTCTGCCCAACATGCCATCACTTCCCAAAATTCCTACAATTCCAACACTTACACCTCCTCCATCCAACTAATCTTTGCAGCTTCCAACCGCGTGATTTTTACCTTTCTTGCTACATTGTTAATTTGATCTTTTTTGTGTGTTCTTGACGATGTACTGTATCATTTATATACAATATTGATTTTCATTTGTGTTTATCCAATGCAGTGTCTATTACTGATTCATCTGTATTTGTCCAATATGTTTTCTTGATAGTACATTTTTTCGAACAATATTTGATCATAACTACTGTTGTTCCACACTCAAATGGAATTTCATCATTAAGAGAATTGATTTAACTATAATTAAAGTATATTATCGTTTCATTGAATCTTTTAATTATGGTAAATTGCATTAATTTGGTGTAAGTCTACCCTTAATTGGAGTAAGCTTTCTTGTAACATTTTTTGGTTGAACAAGAAATTTAAGTGAAAATCAAATAAGACTATGACCATGAAGAAGATTTTTCTCTACAAATTATTATATTAGAAAGCAGTATATTTTCATGTGCATTAGTTTAGATTACTCAAAAATAAAATTTGAATGATCATATAAATTGATTTGGTAAATACTTATTTGTACTCGTTTTACACCTAATTAGACTAACGCTATAATAAAAATAACTTTTAAGGACAATAAATATACACATTAACAAAGAGTGTTGAAAGTTTTGTCGGTATTAGTAATTAATTGTCATTAGATCCAATGTCGCTATAGGCTTTAGAAACATCTACAAAGAGTATTTGTTGCTGACAATTAAGTTATTGTCATTAATTAATTGTCACTAATAATTAATCTTTTATGTAGTGAACTTAAGAATCAAACAATGTTAAGTGAAATTCATATCACTTTTAAGTGTTAAAAAGGAGTTAATTTCTTATACAATCACTCAACTAACGATTTTTATCTTAAAAAGTCAATTAAATATTGTTTATTACACAGAAGTCACTCAACTAATGGTGACCATTAAATTGACCCACTTTTTATTTTTTACCGCAACGAATCATTTTTTTTCAATTCGACTTAAAATAAACTATCAAGGTAAGCAATACCTGTCGAAAATATCGCCTTTTATGTGAAATACAATAATTGAGCGACTTTTTCGGTTAGAAAATAAAGTTAAATGACTTTTAGAGATAATTACAAGTATTAGTTAAATGACTTTTATATTATAAAACAAAGTTTAGTGACTTTCTAAGATAAAAGAAGACATTACTTAAAATCGTTACTCATTGATTTAATATTAACACCCGATTGGGGATTTTACCTATTAATCTTGTAATCTAATGGTCGATCCTTGTGAGAAAAGACTGAATAAGAGTAGAACTACCAAACTTGGTTGCCTTATGATTGTTTAATGAAATGTGTTGACTTAAAAAAAAATTGTTTAGCTGATTAGTTATTTGAGCATCACATATTAGGCAAATAAGCAAAAAAACATATTTCCTAGGTTGTTGAACAACATTTTATTTTTTTTAAAAAAACAATGAATTAGGGTGTGGGTTAATAGTTAAGACACTTTCATCCTTAACTAAAGATTTTTGGGTTCGAGTTCTAGAATGAATGAAATCCTTGGAAGGAAACGCTCCCCTTAACGGATCCTACGTGACATGAATCTGAATTAGTCTGGCTAGTGAGTTCTGAAATACTCAATTGTCCACCAAATAAGGTTGAGACAAATTTCACCTATGAATAACCACTCTAAAAAAAAAATTGTTGACCTAATAGTTTGTGTATGTTCCTCTTGAAGATTAACTAACAATAAAGTATTAAGAATTTAAAAAGCCTATGCTTCTTCTCCCAACACTTCATCCCTATATATATATATACCCTTTACTAAATCATCAAACTCAACTCATAAACACAACTTAATTTCCTTGTGCAAACAAAGCAATTTTATTGCAAATTAACACAATGGCTGCTTCCATCAACTACTCAATTACTTTTGTGATGGTAGCATTGTTGTCCTTATCAAACATATCGACAAGTCATGGTGCTCGTAGCCTACTACAACTTCCCAACTTGCCTACGATCCCCTCATTGCCTAAGCCAACAATGCCACAATTGCCAAGTATTGCATCTTTGCCCACATTTCCCTCTATCGTCCCGAAAATGACTCTGCCACCAATGCCAACCATCAATCCTCTGCCTAACATGCCATCACTCCCAAACATTCCTACATTTTCACCTCCTCCATCCAACTAATATATAGTTATCTTTGCAGAGTCCATCTAGGGGTGGCAAAATGACTTATTTATCGATTCAGTATATTTTGATCCGTGCAAATTCAAGTCAAAATGTTCATTTGACACCCCTACCTCTATTCTACTATATTAGTAGTAGTATTTTACGTTAATTGTTCTATATTTTGTTTCTTTTCAGTTTTTCCAATGTATTCGAGTTGATTTTCCAGAGTGTAATTTTTATGTTTTGATTGTGAGACAAGAGTTTGATATAATATTATTGTTGGTCTACTGGTTTATTATAGAATAGTATTGGACTAATACATGGTTATTACAACAAGTCGCTTTGGCCGAGTGGTTAAGGCGTGTGCCTGCTAAGTACATGGGGTTTCCCCGCGAGAGTTCGAATCTCTCAGGCGACGATTTCTTTTTTTTCTTTTCTATTATTTCGCCTTCGATGTTGGGTAAACCATTTTTGAAATTTTTTTAATTTTAATTTCGCCTTCGATGTTGGGTACACCATTTTTGAAAATTTTTAAATTTTATTTTCACAAAAATATTTAGATTAATTACGTTGATATTATCTTTTATCGACTGTTTGGTTTATTGTATTAAATGAATTGAATGTGTTAAAGGTAGAAATAGTATTAAATGAACTATATTAGAACATGATTATTATCTTGTAAGAATAGTAGTAACATCATTTTTTATGGACTCTTTAGTTTGTTTTATGAAGGTAGAAGTAGTGCAAAATAAACTGTTGTAAAACATGAATATTATTTTATAAAAAAAAATATTAAATATGTATACCGAAATATGTCAACAAGTCGCTTTGGCCGAGTGGTTAAGGCGTGTGCCTGCTAAGTACATGGGGTTTCCCCGCGAGAGTTCGAATCTCTCAGGCGACGATTTCTTGTTTTTTTCTTTTCTATTGTTTCGCCTTGTTGGATACCACGCGTAAGGACCATTCGGAGAAAACGCTTCCTACCAATGATTTTTTGTCTCATTTATCTCCAACTTTCAGCTCAAAAAACCAATTGAATCAATTTTTTCTTTTTTATTATTTCGCATTCAGAGAAAACACTTTCTACCAATAATTTTTCGTCTCATTTATGTCCAACTTTCAACTTAAAAAACCAATTGAATCAAGCCATTAATATTTTCAAAGACATGAACATACGGCTGTCATCTAATCCTAAAAGACCAACCTAGTAGTTCAATTAGAATCAAAATTATTAAAAATTCAAGCATAGAGCCGTAGACAAACCCGCCTTCCTTCCATCTCGGGAATAAAAAGCCATATAATTTGCATCCACAAGATCTACCAATAAGTATTTACAATCTAAACTAAGATAATCTCATATGCCATGGATACTTGGCCAAAGATAACAAACTCATCAGTAATAACTACTATACAACAAAGTGGGATCCAGAAAGGGTAGAGTGAGGTAGAGATTTACCGAATACTTTTCTTCAATATCTGAATATAATGTACAAATCACAATCAATGCCCAGTATATTCTTGCATGGACATAAATTTCAACTTTCTCATGTCATAAATTATTGAATAGTTCCATAGGAGAAGTTGTAAATAACAGATGAATGAACATAACTGATGATATACTCAAATGGTACAAAGGTTAAATAAAGTTTGTTTAACCATATGCAGAACCTTTACAGAATGTGAGGAACAAATGAAAATGCTACTCTTACTCTCTGTCAAAGCTTCATTATAAACTATGCCCTTCTGAACTGGCATCAAAAAAAATTGGAAAATACAATTTTCCGTGTTATTTCTTGAACAAATGGAACAGGAAAATACGTAAACGTTATCAATTTGGCTCCCTGCTTCGTCTAATTTACATTATGATAGATATCTGAACATAAAGCGAGTTTTCTCATATGATTCAAAGAAAATCAGGCTGGCCTGTGGATGTCAAGCAACGATGCCACATACGGCTGTTAGGGTCGACAACCCTGGGTTTAGAGATGACTTCTGGAATTGGAAAGTAGACATAATGAGTATTGCATATACCCACTGTGATACCACTATATCCAGCAAATGCACCATGAACCTGGCAAGACATAGCATGTATATCGAATAAATAAATGGTTGAATAGTGTCTCAATCACGGAAAATACAAGTTAAGAAAGAGGTATCCAATTCCCTAATGAAGGACTTACAGCATTTTGCCCAAGTACGGTGCACAGAATACCATCTGAAGCATTTGCACGGCATGCACGGATCATGTAAGTAGGATCTATGTATTTCACATCAGCTGTCTGTCCGAGCTCCTTAAAGTACTTTTTAACCTGTCAAGAGAGCAGGCATATTATCATGAATTCTTATAATAAGAACGGTAAGTAAGCGAGCCATGAGCCTTCATGTGCAAGGAAATTTCTACTGCCAGGTACGGTGTTTTAAGAATCAATCAATCGACCGCCTCAAGAAAGAGTTGGGAATCGTCATACAGATGTTATATTAGCTTATTCCCAATAGCATTCAGTGGATTATAATGATTTCACTATTATACTGGTGCTCAACCAATCACAACGCTTCTCCTGATCCTAGCTTGAGGCCCACTGTGCATTGTGAAGCTCATGTAGGCAGAGTGAAAGAGATGACGACCCCAATTAGATGCTAGGAGCAACAGTTAAAAAAGTGACTGAAAATATCCTCATATATTGAACGAAACAAGGACACCAGTCATAGCAGCTTAATATGCAATTATTGGTTATTCTTAATGAAGTGGTGTTCAGGTAAGTATTTTCTTCTTAGAAATTCCAGCACAAAAGTTTAAAGATTATCATGTACAATATAGGAGACCATAAAAAAGAGTTATATCCAACT